ATTTCTCCATTGACGGGTGACACCATAGTCGGTGGACCGATTATGACCCAACCCTATCTTCTATATCACGATTTACATAAACCGCCTAGCCAACTACAGTTCCCGTCGATATGAATCATTACGGATAACGGAAAAATGAATTGAGCCTTCACGATGAATGCTAGTTTTGGGGATCCCACCTGCTTCCACCGCTAAAAGCACGGCCGTTCATCCTAAACGGACTCCACGACGCACATCCGGGCATGGCCCGAATGAAAACTTTGGCCCGCGGTTTTTGCTGCTACCCTGGCCTAGATTCAGAAATAGAGAACCAGCTAAACATGTAGTTTGGGTCAGAAGGGTCAGTCAAATAAACCGCCCGGTCCGCTACACCATTGGCGTTAGCCTGAAAAGCCATGGCTGCGCATCCATGCGGACTACTTTGGACCAAGTAATGGTGCACTTTTCCTGCTGCTGCTTGACGCTGATTCGAAATGGATAGATGTTTAGTACATTTCCCACCCCACTACAGAGACAACTATCTCAACACTGCGGTCATCATTCGCCATATTTGGGGTAACAGGGACCCACTGCACAGACAATGGGCCTGCTTCGCTAGCAGAGAAGTTGGAATCTTCATGAATATCAATGGTGTCTAGCATGCCTTACAGCTCCATAGCACCCAGCTTTTAATGGGCTAGCGGAAATGGCGGTGCAGACAATTTAAAGAGATTTATCGAAGTAAGAACCAGGAACACTTCAGACGAGCTTATATCGCTTGCTCTTAGCTTACAGGATAAATCCAATGGAAGGCACTGGTAACTCACCTGCGGAGTTGATGTTTAGTCGAACACTCCGTACCAGACTGGAGCTTCTGTTTCCAAATGACTGAGCACAAATGGAGAAGAAACAAGACAAGGCTGCCGCATCACAAGATGACCACGACTATACTTGGCAGTCGGGTGATCCCCTATACACATAGCTTACGCATGAGCGCTACTGGCGATCAGCAACCGTAATTAAAGGGGCGTGGACCCAAGCAGAGCTCTAAGTAACTGGTCAGATAGTACGGCTACACTCAAACTACTTACGCGTACGTTGTGTTGGGGCAGCAGCAGATACATGCCCGAGTGAATTAGCTTCATTTCAGCCGGAAACGGAAGCAACTATTCAGGCTTCTCTACAATCGTCAGATGCACCACCGCTTCGTAGATCGCAGTGTACGCATACACTTGTTGACTGCTTCGTGCCAGGAGTATAAACATTGCAAGTGATGTGGGATGTCACGTACGCGAATGACTTTGATCCGTTTACTACCGTCGTGTGCGGATTGGTTACCACTCACACCAGCCAGCTAATAACCTGATAAACGCCCCCGGTCCCACGACGCGAGTTTCCGGGAAAGTTGTACCTTCGTAATTGATTGATAAACCTGCTTTTTAGACATCTTCCGCTTACTGGGAGTACGTGTCTCGGAAGCGTGTGTTACACGCTCAGTGGCACTACGTTTCACTCCCCACACAAACATACACTGTTATGGCAAACATACCGGAGTTTTGCACATTCCTGATCACGCATTGTTAGGTCAAAATGATCGTGCCTGTATAAGCGGGTGTCGCCTTGTAGAGAATGAAAGCTTTATTTGTATATTAGTTAGTCTGACCGAAGACGCGGTGGGGGACATAAAGTTTCGGTTGAGGGACTCAGCTCGTAGCCACTTTCCCAATAGCCTGACCCAAAGGACGGTGCGAAGGAACTCCAGTTCTGCAGTTTACTTACAGAGAAGGACTCTGACCTGCTTAACACCGCATCTATACAGCCTGTAAATATTGCGCACAGTGAGCACGTGTTTATCGACAACACGCGAAAGCGGATAGCTGCACCTGGAAGTTGTCGAATGAGCACCAATTTGGTGAATGGCTGGCTGGCCCGAGCAGAAGGTAGCAGGCCATTGAGCATTCCGATGTGCACTCCCATCGCCAGAGACCATCCCTGGCACTGGTGTATACGCCAGCCCAGCTGTGCGCTTATACCCCTTGGACCTGTTGGTTTAAGTGTACAGGGCCATCTACCTCACGCTGCCCTTGAATATTGTGGGGTTGAGACTGATTTGTTCTAGCCTCTAATAGTTGCCCTGTATGGCGTGAGTGCCTCGGAAGCACTTGGGAAATGCCACCTAACTTATCCACTGTTTCCGTACAGCAGAGCTATCAATCATCCCTGTGTGCGTGCACACCGAGGCGATACATGGCAGGACACTACTACAAACCGCACATAAGTGCAGAGGACCATGAGATCTTCCGGACAGCAAACCTGTGGTCCCACTCAACACCGTATGAAGCCTGGACATCAACGCGTACTGTGGATTTATTTGATTGCAGCAGAAATATCCCAGCGGTACAATCCGGTGGAATCGCACCGTTCTGTCAGCCGTTAGTTCAAACAAGTCCTACGCAGTGACCGTGAAACCTGTTATTCTCAGCTTTTTTCGGAAATGGAGGCCGCTGCGCCCACTGACAATACCCGCAAGCACTTCTAGCTCATTCGATCCACCGTCCACAGATAGCCAGTTGCCAGTGAGAGCGTTTGCGAAGCGGATGGTTCACTGATTGCCAAATTACTGAAACGCTTGCACAGATATACTGAATATTATCATTCCCAATTCACTTGGCTCTAACCGTCCACTTATATGTCCAGCAAACCCAGCTGCCCGCCCTGGGCCGTCACAGTTGAGCCACACAGTGAAGCGGATGTTTGTCTTGCAATTCGCCCCCTAAGGTGGTTCAAGGCCGCCGGAGACCTTCAACTATGGAGGCTCAATTAGCATCATTCAGGTACCCTCAATGTCCGCCAAATCCTAGAATGAAGAGCACTTGGCTTCTTCCTGGGCCAAGTCAATTTATATCACGGCTTTAAGCAGTGTACTCGCACTTCGTGTACCAACCACTATGGGATTAGGCTAATTTCGGTTGCCTCAAAGCTGTTGGCAGCCATTGCACTCCATAGACTATCCCCCGTACGAGAATCGCAATACTGGAGCCGTAAGTGATGTCGTCTAAGGAGTCAAGTAACTTGGAAAAACAAGGCCCTAGGTGATCGGTACTTGAGCGTCCTTTGACCTAGTTGCAAGTTACATGAACCGCTAGGACGATACTTGGGGCGTACTCTCAAGAGGACGTGCACCGAAAGCACCAAACAGCGAGTTATAAAATGATCTGCCGAACAAGCTTCAGATGGATTGCTATCACGCAGTATCAAAGACCTACTGGCGGATTGGGAGCGAGTAACTTCGAACAACACTTTGGATACACTCTAAGGGTTTAACTACATACCCACAACTGTACGTTGAGTCAAAAATGTGCTAATCAATACTGACAGAGCTTGGACAGCATTCTCTACCGACTGACACCTGCAGACACGCATGGTGTCGATTTCAAAGCTAATAGAACGCGCGACACCTTTGTCTTGTCGGCCAACCAAGCAATCCTGTCAAAATAGTGCGTAGCCAAACATATCTACACCACCGTCCGTGTTTTCCTGAGACAGCCGCGTTTCAGTGGATGCAAGTATATCGGGAGGAGACGCGTTTAAAAGTAGACCCATCTCGTATATGTTATTTATTGGGCTGCGCACGTTGCTGAGCACTAGACGAAAGTATTTGGTGAGCATTTTTGGATCGTGCAGTAACAGCGTAGGCGCTGGCAAGTCGGAGAAGGACCGCCAACTGACCAGCAGAAGACCAGCCGAACGAGCACCACGTTCACCAAACGTACTCCTGCTTTTGAGGTTCTTCGCGGCCTTTTAAAGTATCAACAGATCCGCAAGCAGAAGGTCTGGTCGATTACTAACATTAGTTTACTTCCTTTTGGATGCAAACCGCAGCAGCGTGTTGCGGTACCCTGGGTATCTAGGACCACGCGTAGTAGGCGCGGTTTTGTGCTTTAACCGTAACGTTGCTCAACCTTGTCAGTTTCCCGACAGTGTAACGAGAAGCGCAGGCGGAAGAAGCTACGTTAGGCACATTTTAAACCCCTAAGTCGTCCAACAATCCTTCAAGCAGCAAGTGCTGCAGTGGATAAGGCCGCGTTACGGAACATAACGCTGCTATCCACACATTAACAGGCGCTTTTGAGGTGATTGGCATCACCTGTTGGTAAACATAGCTTATATGCCCGCTTGGATTTATCAAAATGACGTGGCAAGAGACTGCAACTGCCTCTAACAAAAGGTCTATCTTACGATCGTCCGCCGTGGCTGAATTCTCCAAGCATTGCCGTATCGACCGAAGAAACCCCGACGAGCCTGTCGGCATTCACGAAAATTCACGCAGATAATGAGCACTGCCATTGGTAGGTAGCATGTTCAATGGGTTATAAGTCAGATTGGTGCATTGATAATCATGCTTTCGGTTGCGGTCGTCGCGCTGCATGCTTCCAGCATCGTCAGTCACTAGTTAAGCACACCTTGTGCTCTCGTAAGCGACAGCAGCCTCTACGTCCGTATAGGTGCCTAATAACACGGATATTATAACTTGGAAAGCAGCAGAATTGTAACCCGTATACGCAGTCAAACGACTGAAAGCTGAAAGGAGTAACGGGAAAAACGGGTTAGTAGACTGAAAAACCCAAAACCTCATCGGCAAACATTATGTAACCGCCCGGGGCCACCCCAGTAACATCGGCCAAAGTTGCCTCGGAGCACAGAGAATTCGACAATAGTCAAAATTTTTTTTCCATGTTTATTCATCCAATGTTTTCCATAATAGTTCGGCAAAAACTCGATTAGAATGGCACGCCCAAAATTTTACTTACCACGTCGAGGCCAGAACCGAAACAAGTTGTCATAGATTCTATTAATGACAACCATCGGTGCATACAGTCTCACGTACAGCTTCATACGGGAGGTATCCCGCATGGAATGCACGCGTCGGAATTTCACATACCGGTACGGGAAACATTCAGGCTGCATGGTCACCACAGAATACTTGAAAAAGCTGGATGACGTTGCTAATTCATTATTATGCACCACATTCCCCACGTCCTAGCGCTTTCGTAGCGAGCACAAACCATGCCAGAAAACACAACCGCGTAAGTCAATATGGCGGACGCTGACCAAATAAGCCTCGTCGTTTCATGGCCATTTCAAACCTTGCTCAAAATGAGGGCAATGCATGAATGTGGTATTCAACTGCAATTGATTCCTTTTGGAGTCAGCAATCCATCTCAATCTATGTAATCGTTATTCATTCGATGACCTATAAGTTGGCAGCCGTACCCAAACGCGTCGCCCCTTAGGGCGATTTTCGCATACAACACTTAAGCACTTCCGCTCCGAGAATGGCCGACGAGACTTCTCTAAACACTACAGTGATACAATCCTATGACCCGCTTTGTACGACGATAATCGACAAATCGTCAAGTGTGCATCTGTACACATTTCATGCTCAAAACAACTCTTGGGTAAGTGGTTTTTGTAGATGAGCGAACTTCCTGCATTCGACATTCAACCTCTTCCAATCATCAGCGTATGCGACTATTTCGCAGTTTGCTTTCGTAGGTTGCTTAAAAACAGTTTTTACCCCGGATGAAGTAGTTATTCACTTTTTAAATGACACTCCTTTTGAACTTGCTTTTCTCAGAAGATGGTCTGATGCACTAGACAACGGTCACGAGCTGGACATGCTTTTTGTCGGCTCTTCGAAATAATATTACACGGTACATATGCTAACTTTTCACTGTACGTGTGCTCGTGATCTTCACTGGGTGTCTGCATTTTTGGATGGTAGGGGACAGTGTGCGCGTTAGACGCAACCTATCGTTTGAGTACCGTCTTCAGTGGCGTAACGCAAGGTGTGATTCTTGGACTACTGTTATTCTCCATCTATATAAACAACCTGGCTGCTGAATTTAAGGTTCCATCGCTACCATTTACTATTGACATAAAGCCGTGATATATTGTGTATGTTCCTAAGAGTCCTGAGGCCATTCAGCGCTCTTTGGATAGATTTTTGGATTGGCCTACTTTATGGGAACTGCCCATCACAGACAGTGTTCTGTCCTTCGAATTTTAACAGCGTTTCCCGTCAAGCTACTTGGTTTTGCGTGTCCAACTACCTTGCATCTTCTATAGCGCACGATCATCGCTACTAAATTTCAGCCAGCTTGATCTGGACGTCCCATGTTGTTGCTAATGCGCCGTTCCTTTGGATTTTTAACGGTCGATATCTTTGTGGAACTGTTGCCGAATATTTTTTACCCACGTTTAGCGTACTGCGTCCAAGCTTGTCCGCCCTGCCTCATCCGGGACAAGTTGAAGCTGGAGAGGGTATTGCGTCTGGGTGTTTAGTGCGTTGCCTGTACCGGGAACCCAGAGAGCGATTCGAGAAGACGGATCGAGTTGCAGGGAAACTTTTATTGGCACAGTAAAAGATTCCCTGTTTATCTAGCTATGAATGAACGACACCGTGGACGCTCTAGCTAGGGGAACGGAGCAAGCACAGCACACAGGGCAGTTGCGAGTTGCAGCCGAAACGAGCGCCAAGCAAAAATGGCGATGAGCAAGCAAAGCATTCGAACTCAGCAAGCAGTTCAACCAACCACACCGTTTGCTTAGGTGTACAATGAAATAATATTAGTTAGAATTTTACACAGGCAAACCGGGGAATCTCCAGACTGCTACATAGCCCTCTCCCAGAAGGGACTTTGTAAGCAGTCCTTCGATTTACGTGAGGACTGTTCGTCGCGGGCCAGTCTTCTGCGAGACCAGGTTATGAAACCTGATGCAGCTGCTGGGGGAGAACTATGCAATCGGACCCTAGCGGGCTCCCACCCGTGTCCTCCCTACGGTGTCGAAACGGTAAAAACTGTTTGTAGGGGGACAGTTAGTAAAGTTCACGTAGGCGGTTGAACAGGAAGTTCGTTCCAGTTCCAGTTGACGTGCGGGGATCCAGCGGAAAGTGAAACCGAGGGGCAACCAACCGACGGGGTGTATATGTGTCAAGCCTTGCAATTTCGCCGAGAAGCAGGGAAACTTCTCGGCGACCGACGCGACCGGCCAACACCAAAGTCGCCACATTCGCGTTAGGGATTTAACTTCCGGCACCGAGTTTCTAGTCGACACTGGTGCCGAAGTTAGCGTCATACCCCGTAGCTCACATGAGGTCGTCTCACCATCGCCGACCAAGCTGCGTGCCGCCAATGGCACACCAATCGCAACTTTCGGCGAAAAGCTGCTAACGCTCAATTTAGGCCTCCGGCGAACGTTTCGCTGGCCTTTCATAATCGCTACCGTGCCTTTCGCCATCATAGGCATAGACTTTCTTCAACGCTTCGACCTCGTCGTCGACGCTAAAAGGAAGAAGCTTATCGACTTCAGGACACAACTCAGTATTATCGGGACCAGCGCCAACGTGGCTGCTATCACTCTCATTCGTGTCCTACCTCAAGCTTCACAGCCTTTTCTAGAACTTTTCAGCAAGCACCCTAAACTCGTTCGCGTCCTGAACGACTTGCCTCCTGTGACGTCAAACGTCATGCATTACATTTGCACTAAGGGCCCACCTGTTTCGGCCCGCCCTCGCCGATTAGCCCCGGACAAGCTCAAAGCTGCTAAGGCGGAATTCGAGCAAATGCTCGAACTGGGAATCATCCGCCCGTCCAAAAGTCCATGGGCATCACCATTACACATGGTGCCTAAGAAATCCGGTGACTGGCGCCCCTGTGGTGTCTACGGGGCACTTAACAAAGTTACCGTCCCGGATAAATACCCTATTCCGCACATGCACGACTTGACCTCAGCTCTAGCTAGCAAGCCTATCTTTAGCAAAGTCGATCTAGTTCGCACCTACCATCAGATACCTGTGGCGCCAGACGACATTGCTAAAACAGCAGTCATTACGCCATTCGGCCTATTCGAGTACCTCAGAATGCCTTTTGGCCTCAGTAACGCTGCCCAAACTTTTCAGCGTTTCATTCATGTGGTAACGCGAGGACTTGAAGACGTCTATCCTTATCTAGATGACATTCTCATCGCCAGCTCTTCTGACGAGGAGCATCTTCGTCACCTCGACGCTCTCTTCCAACGCTTAACACAGCATGGGGTTACCGTCAACCCCGATAAATGCGAGCTTGGCCAAAGCTCCATCGACTTTCTTGGCCACCGCATTTCCGCCTCTGGTATTGAAGCTCTGCCAGACAAAATCCAGGCACTGAAGGACTATCCTGCTCCCAGTTCCTTCAAACAGTTACGCCGATTCCTTGGCCTGGTTAACTATTATAGACGCTTTATTCCTAACTGCGCGAGCATTGTTCAACCAATGACTGACTTGCTCCGCGGTAAACAACGGTCTTTTCATTTTGCAGACGACCCTAGACTGTCTTTTGAGAAGCTCAAAGACGCTATCTCCAACATAGCGCTTCTCGCCCACCTAGACACATCTGCACCAATCTCCCTGACGACTGACGCATCCGACACTGCCGTCAGTGCAGTTCTTCAGCAACTCATCGACCATCGATGGATACCTCTAGGTTTCTTCTCGAAACGTTTGCAACCTGCCGAATCGCGTTACAGCACCTTCGGTAGGGAAGTGTTAGCTATCTACCTAGGTATCCGACATTTCCGTCACTATCTCGAAGGTCGACATTTTACAGTCTTTACTGACCACAAGCCATTGATCTATGCAATCAATGGCGCAACGGACAAGTATTCTCCGCTGGAAACTAGACACCTAGACTACGTTGCTCAGTTTACGACAGACGTACGACATGTCTCAGGTGACCTCAATCCCGTCGCGGATGCGCTTTCACGCATTCAGCAGATCAGCTTATCGCCTGACACCAACATTGACCTAGCCGCTATGGCTGCTGCCCAACAAGCTGATCCCGACATAAGCACGCTACGACGCAACACCACTGAGACGATCACCATCGATCGACTCAAGCCAGCATTCCTCGACAAGTCTGACTCTTCGGTGCAACAAGCACCTTCACAGCCTGCGCCATCACAGCTCGCACCGCAACCTCAGACGAGTCAGTGCGCTCCAGCAGAACCGACAACCTCAACCGACAGCACTCCTACTCGCCCTACTATCAATCGACGCGGTAGGAAACTCAAGCCTCCAGTTCGTTTTTCGGACTTTGTTAGCATTCACTATTTTACATAGAACATGCCACTGAAATCAGAAGGTTGCGTGTTCGGGTCACGTCGGGGTCACCAATTTAGTGCGTTGCCTGTACCGGGAACCCAGAGAGCGATTCGAGAAGACGGATCGAGTTGCAGGGAAACTTTTATTGGCACAGTAAAAGATTCCCTGTTTATCTAGCTATGAATGAACGACACCGTGGACGCTCTAGCTAGGGGAACGGAGCAAGCACAGCACACAGGGCAGTTGCGAGTTGCAACCGAAACGAGCGCCAAGCAAAATTGGCGATGAGCAAGCAAAGCATTCGAACTCAGCAAGCAGTTCAACAAATCACACCGGTTGCCTAGGTGTACAATGAAATAATTTTAGTTAGAATTTTACACAGGCAAACCGGGGAATCTCCAGACTGCTACAGGTGCTTGGTTGGCTGATGTCTTGCCGGGACAAACGTACACCAATCGCCCACTTACTTTTGGAATGCATTCAATGCATTGCAGTAGGTCTATAAGGGGCCAATCTTAACTTTGACTTAATTTAACTGGGAAGGTTGGCTTATAATTGTCTTGGCTATCCCGACAGGCCAGATTGTTTGGTCCCCGCGTGCATTTTATAAATCTAGACAAATCGCGATGTGATCGGATTAGAGCGGAAATTCGGCTGTCACCCAGTCATCGAGCGCTTAAACCTACGTCCAGAAACTATTGCCACGTAATCTACGTTTAAGAGTTTGAGCGTCAACTGGACGCTTTTGGGCAGCAGTATGAAACCTTTTCCTCTCCCTGATCATCCATCCTCACACTTCGATTCTTTTCTATACTTTCTGTCACGCATTGATGTTATTCCTTTGCACATGAACTTCCTCCTCTTTAATCACTGCCTTATTTCTTTATCCCCTGCTTACTTCGCGTACCTGGCACAGTAGGGACCGCTAATGCAGCAAACGTTGCACTGATTGTATGTCTAGGTTGTGCTTCAGGTGTTCCGTTTTATATCTATCAAGATCTCGGATCGGATTAACGATCTGCTCGAGAAAGAAAACACAGGATTCTCTGATCGATCCAGCCCCTTTCGAACTTGAACTCATTTGGATACTGTGCGTCCTCAAACTGGCATGTAGATATCATCACGCCTCACCATCTCCTGGCTTGCCCTACAACTACTTTCATGCTGCATTTTCATCTGTTGTATCAAACGCTCACATTGCTGTCACAATGGTCGTTGCCGTCCCCCGTAGCTCAGTGGTCTCAACCACGGACTGGTAACAGTCAAATTGCGAGTTCGAGCCCTTCCAGGGTCCGATGGAATGCCCATTGCTGACGG